AAATGTTAGGAAACAAAACTTCAAGAACACGGCCACACAGCCCGGAAGACCCACACCAGCCAATCACCAGACAATTATGTAATTTTCATAGTTTGCCTTTTTAAAAATTAATTTCTAAATAAGAACCAAATATCATAGTTAATAAGGGCATATTTCTTTTATTCACAGAAAATTATATTTAAACGTATTATATAACACTACATTTTATACTGTATTTATATTGTATTGATCATTGTATGAACACTATATATGCTTGGAAATATTCCACCTCCTTAGCAGAGCCTTTTAGTCACTGTTGTTAATTCCCAATCTGATGTTAACTTTACTTACTCAGAATGAGGATTTCAATGAACAGTACTTCAAATAACAGCTCTGTTGAATTAAGCCCAAATTCCACCTAGTTCAGATTTTAGGTTTCAGGAACCTGGACAGAAAATCATGTCTTGGAATTTCACAGCAAGCATAATGCTTGTATCTGTTGTGCATGATTCACTTGTTTGACAAAGTCACCAGTAATGATGAAATCAAAATATTTGTTTTCTTTACAGATGTATTCCATGAAAACTTAAAAATGGAGCTGGGGAAAGGAAAGCTGTTGAGAACTGGCCTTAATGCCTTATACCAGGCCATCCATCCTGTGCATGGAATTGCCTGGACAGATGGAAAGCAAGTGATACTGACTTCTTTATACCAGCATAATGGAGAACCTAACTTTGGCAACTCAAATGTTGTGGGTCAATTTGAACATGTTCATGGACTTTACTGGGGTCCGTTTTGTGCTCCAGATGCTCCTGCACTCCTTGCTATTCAGCATAAAAGACACATTACAATGTGGCAACTCTGTTACAGTGTTTCAGAACAAAACAAACTGATGGTTTATCAAATCAGTGAAATCAGTGAGCTGTTTCCTATACTTCCTCAGGGTTGTGTGTGGCATCCCCAGAAAGAAATCTTGGCTGTACTCACTACACGAGAAACTTCTGTGCTCCATTCGGTGCGGCTCAATAACTCCAGAATAAAAGCAGATATCAAAGGTACCGGTATCATTCATTGTGCTTGTTGGACTGAGGAAGGCAGTCGTTTGGTGATTGGGATAGGTAGTGCACTCCATTCCTATATGTGGGATGATGATCAGAAAACTTTAAATGCTTGCTCCTTTTGTCCAATATTTGATGTGGGGGGCTACGTTTGTGCAATGGAACCAACTGTGAGTGCACAAGTGGCAGTTGCTACTGAACTGCCACTAGATAAGATCTGCAGCTTAAATGCTGGTATTTCATTTGAACTCCCAACTGAGCTTATTGGAAATTCTATTCCCTCCCAAAGTAGTCCATTGGGATATGATAGTGACCTCTCTGTGGATGGTGGAAAAAAATTAACAGACCAGGACAAGTCCACTGGAACTTTTGCATCATCGCCAGTGGATTTGACTCATCTTCCTTCAAGCAAACAGCAATCTGAAAACAGTCCTCTCACTAATCTAAGACCCAAGGATTACCTAACTGGAAGTGGTCAAGATGCATCACACTTGATTTTGGTGACTTTTGAAAGAAAAGTGACAACTAGCAAAAAAGTCAGCATCCCAGGTATCCTAGTCCCAGATATCATGGCTTTTGACTCTAAAACACAGACTGTGGCAGTTGCCTCCAATACTTGTAACATAATTTTAATTTACTCCTTAATTTCATCACACCTGCCTAACATTCAACAAATTCAGCTGGAGAAAAGTGAGAGGCCAAAGGGATTGTGTTTCCTGACAGAGAAACTGTTGCTGATACTGGTTGGAAAACAGAAATTAACGGACCCTGCTTTTCTTCCATCTTCACGCTCAGATAAGTACATTCTCCGCTTGACAGTAAAAAAGATTGCCTGTAGAGAAGGCCCCTCTGCACTTTCAGGTCCTACTCAGGTTTGTTTTAGGAACATACCAGTGAAAAGAGAAAGCATTGAAAGCCATTCTTCTGATACTCACTCCCTGAGTGAAGGTTTGCTGCTCCCAGGTTGCACGATCATGCCGTCTCCTGGGAAGAAAAAACTGATAGAAGAAATTAAAAACACTGCTAATGAGCAATGCCTGTCAACAAGCATTGTGGAGTCTGCTGAGAAAAAGATGTCCAAGGATTTTCCCCAAGCTTTGAAAACTTTGGATGTTGAGCCCACAGCTCATTCTTTTGCTCTTCGAGGGCTTGAAAATGCTTCAGGATTGCTAAATACTCCAATATCACCAAACACACCAGGAGATAGTTCTCATGAAACTTCTAAGTTATGCAGCAAACAAATGCAGAGTTCTCATGAAATAAAAAGGTACTTACTGCAAAGTGAAAAAGAAACTAATAGCATCTCTAAAAATCTAGAAAAACTATGCCACAGCTTTGCAGAACTTCAGCATCAACTTTTTGAAATAACTGAACTTCTGAGATCTGGAAAAAAAATTGTTCCACAGTATCCACCATCTTGTGAGCCTTCTTTTGTTAACGTAATTTGCCAGGTAACTTTCAAACAAAAAGAGTATGATATCACAATTTTAACATAACCAGCTGTATTTAAAGAAACTAGTAATATTGATTCCTTCCTTGTGAGCTTTTCTGCAAAATTTCTGAAGAGCAGCAACCCATTTGCCAAAATCCAGTTATGTAAAGCTACTCTTAAAGATCTAGAGAGAGAAGGGAGATTTGGATTCCTTTGGAGGCATCAGTGTGATTGGGACCTTTTGGGACTCTTTAGATGAGCAAGTAATAGAATTGGCAATGCAATGAAGTCTAAAATGTAATCTTCAAGAGGTTGGAAATATTGAGAGTCAGTAGATTTGGTTACAGGGCACACTTAAGACAAGAAAAACTCCAGTTCAAATCTCCATTCAGTCTCAAGGCTTGCTGGATGATCCTAAGCCAGCTGTTTCCTCTTAGCCTAATTTTCCTTCCATGGGATTTGTGAACATAACTCTTAGAGTGGGCTGGAGGAAAGACCATGAATAAATGTGTGTGTATGAAACTTTGTTAATAAGCACTGTCTTGCGCACATAAAAATTACATGCATCTCTTTTATAGATAGCAGTGGCTATCAGACATGAGTGACAGTGCTATTTACAGAGACAGATAAAAGAAGCATTGATCTGGATTCACTTATCCCACCTTATGCTATAGCCAGTGAGCTGAATATGCTGAAAGAACTACAATATTCAAGGTGGAAATTGTGCAAGTTCAGCCTTAGTAGTGTCTCTGTGTATGCAGCCCTTACTAGTGGATGTAAATTATGCACATGGCACTGCTAAACAAAAGAAAACTATGTAACAAGATGGTATCAGCACTGTGAAACCTGGGTGCACGCGTACAGGATAAGCTGTTAGGAATTGCTACTCCTAAAACTCTTATTCTTAAATTAACAGAAGGAGTCTTCAGGATCTGTTACTTCTGAAAAGCGTGCTGTTATCCTCTGTGATGGAAAACTCCGTCTGAGCATAATTCAGCAGATTTTCGATGTGTGTGTAGTTGAAATGCAGCATAGTAAGTATGAAAAGTAATTTTAGGAACATTATAAGAAGGCATGTGCCAGTGAAAAACTATTTGTTCCTTTTATTTATATAAATATTTGCATTTTTTTTACAGTGAACATTTTCATTGCCTGTATTCATATGTAGTTTAGTTCTCTTCAGGCATCACAAGTTCTCTTCAAATCACAACTATAAAGAAATGGCTGCATTCCTAATATCTCTTTATTACTGAAAGTTTAAAAGAGAAATGTAACCATGTTTGATTATAACTTTATCTTTTTTAAATAAAATTTTAATTAAAAGTTTTACAAAACACGTAAAAACTAACACAAACTAATAAAGAGTAGAAACAGTAAAAAAAAGGAAAGGAGAGAGAAAAAGCAAAAGTGCAGAAAAAAAGAAAAAATACGAAGAAGCTTCTGATTTCTTTTGCAGCAAATATAAGTACAATTGCAAAATTATCTCTTTATTATTACAAAAAAGTTCACTGTTTTCTATTATCCTTTTTTTCTAATCATCAAAGCCACAAATCATAAGTGCATTTTTTTGTTTCATGCAAAAAGTCTGTAAGAGGTTTCCAGTCAACCATAAATGTAGATACTGGTTTTTTCTCTGATCAAAGAGGTTAATTTAGCCATCTCTGCAAGTTCCATCATCTTCACCAACCAATCCTCTGTTGTAGGTAGTGCCAAACCTTTTGAGCATATAATAGTCTTGCTGCAGCTGTCATATATAAAGTTCCATGACTTTTTTCTAATTGCTTGTCCATTAGTTCCAAAGGAAAAGTCTCTGGTTTCAGTTATACTTTAACCTTTAAAATCTTGTATCCAAATTTTTTTTGCTTTTTTACATGTCCACCAAACATGATAAAATGTCCCTTCATGTTGTTCACATTTCCAGCAAAGATTCAAAGTACCTTTATACATTCCAGACAATTTATCTGGTGACAGATACCAATGATACATCATTTTATAAACATTCTCTTTAAGGCTAGAACATAATGTAAATTTCAGTCCTTTCAACCACATATTTTCCTGTTGGTCCGTTTGTATATTATAGCCAAATTTTTTAATCCATTTTATCATACATTCTTTCACTTGTTCCTCTTCTGTCTCATATTTCAGCAAAAGTTTATACATTTTCGCAATAACATGTTCATCATTAGTACATAATTCTGTTTCAAACTCAGTCTTACTTTGTTCAAAGCCATAACATCTTTTATCCATTTTAAACCTTTGTTAATTGTACATAAGAAAACCATTGACAAGAATATCCTTCTGTTATCAATTCTTCTCTTGATTTCATTTTACAATCCCCTTGAGAAAATTCTAGTACATCTTGGTAGGTTAACTATTTATGTTATCATTTCTCATCTATAAAATGCTTCTTGCACTGACAGCTGTAAAGGTGTTTTCAGGTAAAACCTGAGTTTATATTTACTCCATACTCTAAGAATAGCCCTTGTGTTTGACTATAACTGAATGGAGATACAGTTTCACATTACGTCATTCCCTAGAAATGTGGGGAGGGTCAAAGTAGAAGGGGTAGGGCTGGAGCACATAACCCTTCTCTGTTAGGAATGATAATATCTTCTTATACTTCAGGTCATAGGAAGTAGTAGTTCCACTCTGTGCTGGTGAGCTGCATCTGAGTTCTGTAACCATCCATGCACCCCACATTTTAAGGACATTGACAAAATTAGCATATCTAGAGGAGGCCAGCCAGAATGGTGAGGAGTCTGGAAATAAAACAGAATAGCTTCATATACAGAATAGTCAAAAGAGCTGGGAATATTTAACCTGGGGGAAAAAAACAGTGACCTTCAAATGTGATTGGGTGCCACAGACAAGATGGAACAAACTCATCTTTGGTTCTTCCAGAGGGAAAGACTGGAACCAATGAGTGGAGATAGTGGGAAAATAATTTCAACTATAATTAGGAGAAACTTTAACAGAGCTGGACGCATTACTTATCATGGCTGTGGGAAGAAGTGTTTGTGCCCTGCTGAAGGTTTTGCTTGGTATTATGGTGAAATATACTTGACATGCTTTCTTCATAATCCTACTAGTGAAACACTTGATCTGCTATTCAAAGTAAAGACTATTTCCTGTGATTGAGCAGTTTTAATTGGCTTCCTGTTTGAAAACTTATGAACAAGCTAGCTTCCTAGATCCTTTTTTGTTGTTGAGCTTCAATACTATGCCTACACATTTCTGCTGTTTCTCCAAACTTTATGATTGTAACGATAAAAGTCTCTTTTCAGTTGAGTTCTGCTGGTGACTTTATGCACCCATCCAGGTAATTTTTTGGCAACAGGACAGAAGTATTTTGCCACTGCCTCCTTCCGCAATGTTTCTTCAACTTCTCAGTCTAACTTATAGCTCAGGGACTTCTTGATGGTTCCTATCTAAGAACTACCCACATCTAAACCTATTTAGTTTTTTGAGATTAGCCAAGTGTGCTTAGATGCTATCACCTAGCTGGGCAGATCTTTTATTTAGTGATTTCAGTTGTTGCCACAAACTTTTACTACTTCTTCAAACTTAGTGATTGAGACCTGTATTCTTTTCACATCTCTTGAACTATCACTATCTGCCATCTTTTGCAAATCAACAACACATAGATCTATACGCCCAAGTAAAGGAAATAAACTGGATTTAATTCAGCAACAGCTAACCAGTCTTCCTCAGTAATTTGATGCTTTGTTAATTACAAACTCATTTAAGAACTAGCAAATGATCTTTGGAATAATGTAAAGTATTCTACCAGTCAGTTCAAATAAATAATTATATTACTATCTATTAACAGTTATAATTTGAACCATAATCTGGGCTCATCTTTGCAATCTTTAGTCTGATTTAACAGCTTAAACATTATGTTACATACACAGGCTCGTTTGCTTGTGCCTATAGAGATATTTTGAAAATCTTTCTTAGTGTTGGCCTTATTTGACGAGTTCAAATAAGACATTAAGCAGAAAGATTAAAGGTTCACATGACTGCAATCTTCTCATCGTGTCATTTGCAACACAGCTTTACATAACCAGTAAAAGAAACCCCTCATAGGAACTGGAGCTCTGGCAGTTACTAAAATCATTTCTAAAATATGAAACTAGAGCAGTGCATAAAATAAAAGTACAGCCTGACTGCTCTCTACTCTTCAAATCCAGTAATACTTTTGCAGGTTAGAAGTATTGCATGGGGATGGCTAGCCCCATAGAGGCCTTCTGCCTTCAGCCTCAGATTTTTCATCCTCT